TAGGTCTTACTTTCGGGTAGGTCTTATTTTCGGGGAAACAGCACCCCAGCTCTCTGATTGGACAGTGAAGCCCTATCCTTTTCATGATGGAATGAGTTAACTTTTTCCAAAATACCCGCCTAAGATCTGTCCGTTGCGCCTTTTTGTCCCCTCCACATCAAACAATGCTCTGGCTTGCCCTACTACATACATGAGAAGATATCAGTATGATTAATAGATGAAAAGATTCGTTCATCAGTTTTGTAGATTTAAGTTTGCGGTTCATTGTAACATTTTATCAAACATCCGGCTAAATGATCCACTTCCGGCGCGGTTACCCTTCCAATGAACTCCTCACACTGGGAGGATTGTTCCCGGATTATAATGTTTAGAAAAGTTCCGTTACAGCGGTGGCACAAATTGTGGACACTTTCCGGAATGTTTTGCAGCTTTGCAGGCTTATAGGAAATGCTATTTTGCACCAAATGCAAATGTGTATATGTCAATATAAAGAATATGTCATGCTGAATTCAATACAGAAAACAGAATGCAAATATGTTCAGTACAACGCAAGTTATGCTTCCTTTAGTCTAACAAAGAAACACAAGTGTGAGTCATTAAATAGGCGGATGTTAGGAGCAAACACTACTGGCCAATCACAGTCCTTGCTCCGGGGACCAATCAAATGGCAGTAATTGCAATGCATCTAATGAGAAGCTGAGGAAAGTCAGTGTTGCGGTGTGTTCTGGTATTTGGAGTGATGAAAGTGAGATTTCCTCATCTATTAGTGAGGACTGAAAATAGGAAAAACGTAGAGTAGGAGAAGAGCTACATCCTGATTCCTGACTACATGGAGGCCAATATAATGCAACCCACAAGCATTATAATTTGGGCATGTATGGCAACAAATGGTGTTGGCCGCCTTCATGTAATGAACGCCCGAAAATACATGAACTCCATCCTGGAACCAAAACCTTCCACCAGGGATCTCTTTTCCAGCAATGCACCGTTTCTAGTTCAGAAGGATATAGCAAACATGCAATCAGCACCGTTCGCATCAAAGTACATCCCATTGTTGACCTGCCCAGGAAGCAGCCCGGACCTGAGCCCGATAGAGAATGTGTGGCACCGTTTGGAAAGCCTTGTACGAGTGAGGCGTCCAAAAGGCAATTAATTGAGACTAGAACTGCTCCCTGTGCAGTATATTCACCATGATTGCAGTGTGCCTGCATAACTTTTTTTTTCTGCATTTTTTTTTTTTTTAATTCAGCATTAAATGTTAATTACATTGATCTATAAACATTTGCATGTTGTGTAAAATAAAATGTCCTATAAGCCTGCAAAACATTCAAATGTCATAAAAAGTGTACAGTTTTCCCACATTGTGTTATTGTCATACTAGTCTAGAGCCTATAGGATTGCACTGTTGTGGTTTTGTGTTATCCATATGGGAATGAAAACCAAACTATCGGCATCTTTTGAAATCATTCTAGTTTCTAATGAGACCTGTGATTACGATTTTGATACTATTGACTCATGAAATATGGAGATTGAATCCTAGATAAGAACACACCGGCAGCATTAGACAAATGTTTACTCTGCACATTCCACAGACCCGATTATGAACCGCTCCGGCAGTTTGTTTTGTAAAGTTCTATCCTCCACCTGCAGATTATAGTTATTAGGTGATTTAGCTGCTCCAATTTACAGATAAATAACAGCCATCAGAAATAATTATACAATCTAAACATGTATCATTGTTTCATTCCTTGGAAGATATTTCACTTTATCTTCACAGTGTAAAGTTTACACTTGTTTGTTGGAGTGATTACTAATATCATGATTGTTAGTAACCGTGTTACAGCACTTTCTATGAGAAGGTGGGTGGCCCTGAAAAGGGCCTTTGGGTATATGAAACGGGCTGATGAGTTATAGCTTAACCCCCGAATCCGTAGAGAGTGCGTCCCTGGCGTTTGAGAGCATAGACGACATCCATGGCGGTGACGGTCTTCCTCTTGGCGTGCTCGGTGGTGTAGGTGACGGCATCGCGGATGACATTCTCCAGGAAAACCTTCAGCACTCCGCGGGTCTCCTCATAGATGAGTCCGGAGATGCGCTTGACACCCCCTCTGCGGGCCAAGCGTCGGATGGCGGGTACCATGACAGTCCCTTCCTGACATTTCTCCTAAAATTTTCGTTTCAAAAACTGGGACATCATATTTTTAAAAGTCAGAATATAAATGGAATTTCTCCTTTCCAGATAGAATCGGCAGTTTAATCCTCTTTGTCTTCACACTCTATTACCGGGCTGATTCTACATCTGTAACGTCAATAGAGTTCAGGTTCAGTGATTCCTCCATCAGACAATAACATGGCTATTTTATATAAATTATGCTCTGCGGTGAGGCGACACGTGATCTGCACAGCATTCAATACAATTCAGCAATGAAAGGGTTGGAGATCTGCGATTTGGAGATATCTATAAGAGATAATCAGCGAGCTAATCTCTCCTGTTCTTCCACCGGAAGACTCATTTTATACAATTACCAAAATCAATTGCAAGTCATTCTATACATATTCTCATTCACATCTTGTATTGGTAGCTCTGTGTGGAGATGTGGGTGGCTCTGAAAAGAGCCTTTGGGTTTTGTAATGGAAGTTTATGCTGATGGATGTTTACATGAACCTCTCAGCACTGAATATGATGAGAACATATGGAAGTGTTTTCACATTTAATCAATTAAAATCCATTGTCAGTCATTTCTGATATATTAAACTGCATGAAATGAATGGGTTAATGGTACGCTTCAGATATGAGGACTCGTGTGATGAGATCCTCGGATTTGGCGGTATATCGCGGCTGATGATTTCTCTATAACGTTCAATAGAATTCCGGCGGGACATTTAAAAGTATCAATTTGAAAGCTGAGCCAATCAGAATTGTGAGCGTTTCTTACAGGAAAAAACCCCCCACAAATCTTCAATATAGTTTCATATAGATCGTTTCCTGATTTTAGCTTTTACCTTTCAATTCCATCTTATGTATTCAGAGAACATGATAGATTAATATGGGTGTGTGTGTGTGCGTTGTAGATCCTATCCATCTACAAGGATTATATTTGATAGAAACGTAATTGAACTTCACTTATATTTGCCAAAACTGGCATTTGTGTACCTTTTATAATGTGTTGTATCCCTTGTAATCAGAAAGAATGTATCGAAGTATATAAAGCTCTTTGTATGGCGATGTGGGTGGCTCTGAGAAGAGCCTTTGTGTTGTGTGATGGGAGAGGAGGTCAGCTGGGTGTTTACTTGGCCTTGGAGGCTTTGTGACTTTCGGTCTTCTTGGGCAGCAGCACGGCCTGGATGTTGGGCAGGACTCCTCCCTGGGCGATGGTGACCCCACCGAGCAGCTTGTTGAGCTCCTCGTCGTTGCGGACAGCCAGCTGGAGGTGCCGGGGGATGATGCGGGTCTTCTTGTTGTCCCGGGCGGCGTTACCGGCCAGCTCGAGGATCTCAGCGGTCAGATACTCCAGAACGGCGGGTAGGTAGACGGGGGCTCCGGCACCGACCCGCTGGGCGTAGTTTCCTTTCCTGAGCAGACGGTGAACACGACCGACTGGGAACTGCAGACCAGCCCGGGATGATCGGGTCTTTGCCTTAGCACGAGTCTTCCCGCCTTGTTTGCCGCGTCCAGACATCTTTCAAATGCAGAGCGTTTTCTATCAAACGAGTTAGAAATTCAGAGGCGTTCTCTTTTATTTATACCCTGTAGACTGTGACGTCAAGTCCTGTGACTGGTCAGTATGTAAGCCAGCCAATAGCGTTCAGGTTTGTCTCTAACCCAATCGGTATGGGGCACTAAACCGTTACCTCATTTTCATCACATGACTGAATCCTCCAATAGAACAGTAAAGAAGGATCAGGTCTCATTAGCATAGCCCGGCTATATAAGCAGCACATGAGGGAGGAGCCAGCCCTCATTTCTTGCAGCGAACGGAAATATAATTTGAGATCATGCCTGAACCATCCAAGTCTGCACCGGCGGCCAAGAAGGGCTCTAAGAAAGCCGTAGCCAAGACTCAGAAGAAGGACGGCAAGAAGCGGAGGAAGACCAGGAAGGAGAGTTATGCCATCTACGTGTACAAGGTGCTCAAGCAGGTGCACCCCGACACCGGCATCTCCTCCAAGGCCATGGGCATCATGAACTCCTTCGTCAATGACATCTTCGAGCGCATCGCCACCGAGTCTTGCCGCCTGGCTCATTACAACAAGCGCTCCACCATCACCTCCCGGGAGATCCAGACCGCCATCCGACTCCTCCTGCCCGGAGAGCTGGCCAAGCACGCCGTCTCCGAGGGCACCAAGGCCGTCACCAAGTACACCAGCGCCAAGTAAATATCAACATGGCACTACCCAAAAACAAGACCCAAATGCTCTTTTAAGAGCTACCCACTATTTCACTATCTGAGCTGTGATCTGATGGTAACACGATTGGTTTTCCCATTTTCAAAGCTGTTTGATTAGTTACACTTTGACACAATCTACACTGTACATCGCTATACAATACACGGATGTCTTCAGAAGAGGAATTCTGAAAGGAAACTATCCGATGACATTGTAGATCTTCCCGGATCCCCGTACAGAGTCGACGTTTCATGTGACCACCAGGTGGCAGTGTTGTTCCTCCGTAGAGGAGACATTGTAGCGGTTACTCGGTCACATTCAGATCTAAGTAGCTAATAAACTTACTGGGTGCTGATCCAAATGTTCAACCTGGAAGTAAATGTTACACTGAACGGGTGGATGGGGAAACAAGAACTGGATTAGGGAGGTCACTGTTTTCACCTGGACAAACTAACATTCACCTAATCGAATCCATTTTAGTACAAAGTTACTCTGCTGCTGCATTTCAATTTAAAATAAAAGCAATAATAATGATATAAATGTATAAACTCATTTTGCTTTTCTTCTGAATAATTTTTCCACCGCACAAAAAGATTGTTGACGAGATTGATTCGGTAATGGTACCAGGAATTTTGATTTCAACTCAGAGGTGAATTCCAAACCCATCTGGGCTCGGATTTTGTGGGTAAATGTGTTTGATTTTTAGGCCTTTAAAATAAAATCTGACTGGCCCGCAGGATCCGAGGGGAGAGGGCATAAGAAGAGACCCCGCCATTCTCCATTACACAACACAAAGGCTCTTTTCAGAGTCCCCACATTCTCCCTATAAAGAGCTTTAACACCCGATATAAGTACAGAGTATGACGTGTTTATATGTTACGAATCGAAGCTTATATTACAGCTAAGATATAAGTTTAGAATGTTTCGGTTCCTCGTGTCCGGTGTTAGTCTTTGGCTGGTTATTATTTTCTCTGAATAATGTAGAATTCCGCGGTGACATTGTACATGATGATTCCTCTGACGATATACAATGTTTCCCTCCATAGAGGTGATCAGAGCTGTACAATGACATCATGTTACACTGATTACTTGTCTTTCTATTGGAGACATTAGTTATGTGTTTTGTACACATTTGTAGCTTTGTTTCCAGTGTCTTTGCTCAGAGATTGAGGAGGTCCGATCATATCCCAGTCTAGGAGCTCAGTGATGTCCTGTACGTTCTCCCCCGGTGATAATAATGGGCTACAGATGGAGAGATGAGGACTACCAGATATTATTATATAGAAAACGAGAAACAAATGTATTCTTAGGAAGGATCTGATCGTCCTGCACACTCCCATTTTTGATTGCAAAATATACTTTATTAATGTAATAAAATATACAAAAACAAGCTATACAATCGGGGTACACTCTACTCATACAGCAACGCAGAGCATAAACATCACATAGCAATACAGCTCAATCACACAATAAATTACATTTGCACTGCGGAGAGATGCCTGACGTGTAGCGCAAGACAAGATTCCTGAGCCCTCCACGTCATTCATGACACCGCATTACACCGTACTGAGTCTGTGGTCCGTAGGATCCACATCAATTACCTTCAACTAAATACACTTTAGTAAACCTTGTGGCGCAATGTCTGACGTGCGGAACTCAAGGTTCCTCACATCCTACATGGCACGGCGACAACACATCAAGCATAAAACATTAACCGACAACAAAGCATCAGGTGTGATGGGGGAGAGGGAAGAGGGGTAAGGGAGGGGGAAAGAGTTCACAGGCCCAAAGCTTTATTGAAGGACAAGAGACACGAAAAGGTGATAGTCTCTGAGCAGACTGATAATCAGTCTGCGGCAGTCCTCAGTGGACATCCTCCCCCTCCGGAGGGTGAGGCGCTTCCTTGCGCACCAAATAGCATCCTTGAAGCAACAAATCACCCGCCAGGCGCCTCCGATTTCGTCTTCTGTAAAAGCGCCACAAAACAGTCCATACATCACACCAAAGTGAGTTATCGCTGTCAGCTGCACAAAGTCTTTGAGTTCGTGTTCCAGAGCCCTCAACAGGGCCTGTGCAACAGGGCAATGCCAGAAGAGATGCAAAGCGTGATCTTACGGCTGGCTCCAGCCACTTTCAGAGAGACCAGCCTCCCTAGTATTATTATTTTTTTCTATTCTGACATCACTCTGTGTCAGAATAAAGAAAAGAAAAAGACACAGAAGTGTTTCTCTCCTTGGCGGCCAGGAGCAGGAGACTCCCAGAGCACCCGGAGAGTTTCTTTTTTCTTTCTTTTTTGACGGCAGCAGAGCCGCCAGACAATAGGCAACTATTGGGCGGAGCTAGCTGTCACTGCTAGCTCCACACAATCGTTTTCTATTTAGTTTTTTTTACCTTTTTTCACTCTTTTTCTGTTCTGCTCGGTCCCTCTGAGGGACCGAGCAGAACAGCCGAGCCCAATGCCGCTCAGCGGCAGTGTCAGAATAAAGAAAAGAAAAAGACACAGAAGTGTTTCTCTCCTTGGCGGCCAGGAGCAGGAGACTCCCAGAGCACCCGGAGAGTTTCTTTTTTCTTTCTTTTTTGACGGCAGCAGAGCCGCCAGACAATAGGCAACTATTGGGCGGAGCTAGCTGTCACTGCTAGCTCCACACAATCGTTTTCTATTTAGTTTTTTTTACCTTTTTTCACTCTTTTTCTGTTCTGCTCGGTCCCTCTGAGGGACCGAGCAGAACAGCCGAGCCGAATGCCGCTCAGCGGCCTTCGGCTATTCACTCACTGCTGTTCGGCATCTTTAAGAATAGCCTGAACAGCAGTGAGAAGCCTGCCGGAGGTTCGGATCAGCCGATCCAGATGTTGGATCATCCAGATGTTGGATCGGCTGAGTCGAACTCCTTCTGCACTTCGGGTCGGCTGTACATGCTGAGCATGATTGGCCGACCCAAAGCCACAGAAGCAA